GTCCACCGATGCCGTCACTCCATCATAAAAGGCCACCAGATTGGTCAAGCATGACCTTCCTCTGGTGAAGACATGCTGGCTGTCACGGATCACACGCCCTTTCCTCATGTGATCAAGCATGTCATCCAGGATGATCTGTTCCAGGGTCTTCCCAGGCACAGAGGTGAGACTCACCAGCCTGTAGTTCCTGGGGTCCTCCTTGCTCCCTTTCTTGTAAATGGAAGAGACGTGACCCTTCCTCCACTCATCCGGGACCACACCAGACAGCCACGACTTTTCAAATATGATGGAGAGTGGCTTGGCAACCATCTCCGCCTGCACCTTGGCTTTCCTGATCCCACATCTGCAAGTCCAGATGGCATCCCTGTATTCTTCCCGGGTGACACGCCCTTGTTTCCAGAGCTTTTACACACCTTTCTTCGCCCTCAGCACGCCCAGCAGGTCCTTACCGAGCCACGCCGGCATCCTACCTCCTCTGCCCGCTTTCTTGTTCAGAGGGAACAAGGAGGCAGGGAGCTGGGAGCTTGTGATGCAGGATTTCCAGGTACTTCAGCCTAAGTAACAGCACTCACAAGATTTGGCATTGACTGTACGTGTGAAAATATACACACTTATTTCAATAGCTATGGCTTTTTTTTTTTTTTTTTTTTTTGAACAGGAGCAGCAGTGAGTAGTCAGTGGTCCAGTTTCACTTTTTCATCCTTCTTTTGTAGAAATAGATGTTCTCAGGACAGAATACAAACTTAACAGTATTCTCTAGGAAGCAGCTCTGGTAAGTTTTTGCCCTTAAATAGAACATAGAAAAAAGGTTCTCCTGCAGCTATGTTACAGAGTTATTTTGTAAGGCTGGTTATAGTTTTTGTCCTATGAAATTTCTTACCAACTCTGTGAAGCTGCTAAGGCATCATCATCTTCTTTAGGTGTTTTTGTTTTCTTTTCAGCTAATCATGTGTTCTGAAATACACGTAGACATGATTCATCTTTGGTTTTCTTTTTAAATCTGTTTGGCTCTGTAATAGCAAAAAGTTGTTTTTATCTACAGTTCTGCTTTTGGTTTTTGGTAGTGACAGACATCTTCAAGATTCTGTTTTCATGCCTCAAGGTATACACAGTATTATCAGAACCTTCCCCTCTCCAGCTCTCTCTCTCTTTGTTTTGTTTACTGATAGTTCACAGTAAACCCCTGCAGTTATCATCAAGTGCTCAGGCCACGATAACAGCATTTTGCCAAAGCTTATACTCTACATTTCTCCCCTTCAAAAGCAATGAAAGATTTGTTTAACTGAATATAGTTATCTTTTCTTTTATGTCATCAACCCCTTATACATTTATAAATTCCTGTAGAAAATAAAGAGTACCTCCAGATAAACTTTCATTATATCAAATAGATAGCTTTTCTAATCCCTTGCCCCATATTATCTCAGATACCGTCATTGCTTTCTCTTTAAATAGATCTTTTCTTCTTTGTGCTTTGAAAGACATTCACGTTTGAATTTGGGAATATCTCTCTTGCAGCAGTGCTGTGAAGAGCTCGTGTTTCTGTTTCATCTGGGTAGTAGCGAAGGCAAAAGGAACAGGAATGTGAGAGGAGTTCTGAAAATTTTGCTGAGGCATTAGCCTTTAATATAATTAATATAACATAAAGGAGCACCTGTATTCCTTGTGATGATGTGGGAAAGAATACAGAATTGTGTGTGCTATTTTGGACTGTGATGCTACCTACCATATGACCCATCTTTAGCATTATTGCTTTTTAAAATTCATATATGTTACAGCCACGTGGTGGAAGGGTGATACAGGAGTATAACAGCAAAAGTAATATATATACACTAGCATGGATAGAATGGTGCTTCAAAGGAAAAGTAAAGGTACTCACCTGTCTCCAAAGATCTAGGCTCACAGGAAAGACCCCACAAGGGAGAGATCTTCAACCAGAGATCCTTCTCCACTGGCAGTCAGCTCTTAAATGAGGTCTAAGAGAGGTGCAGCCAGGCTGCAGCCCTTCAGGTCACACAGCTGAATTGCCTTCACCTGTGCTCCCAAGGCTGACCCGGTCCTTTCCCCAGGTGCTCAATCAGTGGTTCAGGCTGTGACTCAACATTACCATACAACATATGCCAGAGTTTAGACCCTGTGGTGATTAAAGCTCAGGCCTGCACACAAAACAGTAATTTTCAGTGGTATTGGTGACTGCATCAAAACTGTGAGCCTTTGGAAATGGGACCAACAAAAGAAAGAGAAAAACCTCTTCTGAGGACACGAGGTTTTACATTTTCTGAGGCTGAAGTTATATTTTGTCTATTGCTAGGGTTTCATAGCTGGTTGACTCCTAAAATATCACTTAGTTACAGTCTACTTGCTGTTCTTCAGTGATGTGTGCAGTGATGCTGTGTGATTGATCACTTTCCTGTGATGAAACTGTAGATATCTGCATATATTTCTGCACAGCAAGTGCACGCTTTGGCAGTGCCTTTCACAGCCATCGATAATCTGCACTAGGTCATAGAAACCCAAGGCACACTAACAATCATCATTTTTTTAAATGAGATGAGAGCTTTTCAGCAGATGGCAGTTCCTTTTGAGAAAGAACATATTTTTATGCCTCAGGCTTTCTTCAGGAGTCAGGGAAACTGGCAAGCATTTCTCTCCCAGCCCATACTTCTGCCCAAAGTGTGGAATTACTTCTGTGCAAAGCTACCCTGGTTTTCAACTTGGGAGCAGGAAGCGTGGCAGAAAGGGACTGCAATTGCAGGAATGGTGTCTGCCCTAGAAAGTAATCAAGAAATCAATTGAGGAGCGTAGTAGACTTTGCAATCAAATGTCAGTAAAGTTCAGATTCCAAATTCTAGTCCAACAAGATCTGCAATGCTTGCCTGAACTAACGTACCAGGTACTTGGCCTTCACTGCTGTTTTGTCTCCAATTGCCTAGCCTTATTAGCCACTCTGAACTGACACTGTGCCTTTTTGCAGTGTGCATGTTCCCCTGCATTGATGCTAAACCACAGATAGCTGAGCCATAAGTGCTCTATCTCTCCTTCATTTCCCAGTGCCGCTCAGTGCCCTGTTCTGGTTGTTAGGCGTGCTGTAGTTGCTGCACTTCGTCTCTAATACTGAGAGTTACTTCTGATTTCCTTTAACAATTCTCCTGGTTTAGTTATGCTGACTATAGGAGATATCTGCAAAGAAATAATTCTGCTCATGGAATTGCTGCCTTTCTTTCTGCAGTGATATTGGGCTTTCATGCCTGCAGTAGTTGGTGCAGCTTAATTAATCTAAGTCATTCTAATACTTACTGTGGTGAGGATAGAAAAGCAATAAACAGTGCAGATAAGGGATGAAATGGCTTAATCTCATTAATTAACAAAACACAGAGCATCCAGGTACAAATATTACTTCTCTTCTAATCACTGGCAGTTGGATGAGACACATAGAACTGAGAAAACACATCTAAGCTGTAAATGAAGGTGTAGTTCAGTTAGGTTTTCTTTTTCTTTTCTGGTTTTAATAGCAACTTCACATCATAATTAGGAGGATGAAATTCTTGCCAGCCAAGTACATAGTTTGGACAGATTAAAGGCAAGAGGTATGAGAAATGATAATTGGTTCGTGCTCGTCAGAATTCTATTGAAAATCTGACAGGATAATTACAAAATACCTACTTTGCAGAATGTCTAGGCAAATTTTTAAAGAGCTATTTAAAGTTGCTCGTTTACAATCTGTCTGAAAAGTTTTTTCCCCTCTTTTGAAATAGTTCAGAGCCATTTAGAAGTGTTGTACATGTACAAATATAGACCTTATTCCCATGTGCATGCCTGGCTGCATTCCGTTGCACACCCCCAAAGAAAATTGCCCGTCATTTTTTTGCATTACCCCCTCATCCTTCGCCCACATACTCACCCTTAGCTTTCCGCTGAACATTATTTCACCTGATGGAAAGTGTAACCCTGTTGCTTTCAACAGGCTGAATCATAGCCATAGATTAATGAACTGAGAAAAAAAACATTCCAGTGGACTGCACAAAAAAGTCTGTCTTGACTGGCAGCAAAAAGTTGTTCTACTTTCAGCACATCTCATCTTAGAGGGCATGGTGGTGATGGGTTGATGGTTGGATTTGATGAACTTGGAGATCTTTTCCAACCTTAAGGATGCTATGATTCTATGAAATGGCTTTTCTTCACCTGCTTTTGTAACTTGGAAGTCAGGCTCACCAAATTGCCAGTTTTCAAAAAATATTCTAGACATAGGTGCCAGAACCATACTGATTGTAGTGAAGGACATGGTTTCATGGTTAGCAAGAAATATTGGTGATAGGTGAACGGTTGGAGGGTTGGATGATCCTAGAGGTCTTTTCCAACTTTGGTAATTCTAGGATTTTACTGAAAGACTGAAATTCTGACTCCCTACTGAACTTCACCACGTGAGGTCATTTGAATCACAGGGCTACAGAGTTCTGTAGAAAGGCCGCAAAATGGCTCAGGGCTTCTGTAGGAGTTGAGTTATGCCTTTATGCTCTCTTTAACCATCTGAGTCCAGCTATAGGACCTGACACTAGCACCAGCAGTTCCGAGCCCTGGCATGGCTGGAAATTAGTGAGGGATTTTTGGTGAAGGATAAAGAGATCTTGGTTATTATAATGGGCTTGTAACAAATGAGGTGAGGTTCACAAAAAAGAGTTGTTTCAATAATGGCAATTCCACATGAGTCATCAATATCATTATTGTAGACAGCCAGACAGGGGTGCCAAGGTCCTTGTACACCTGCTGTGTGACAGGAACAACTGCATTTTTTGTTATGTGTAAGAAAACAGGATGTGGGAACCCCAGGATGGATGCCCATGGATGAACAGCCTTGCTGTTCTGTAGCTGTAGCCAACGACATGGTATATTTTATGTAGTTTCCCAAAGAGATGCTTTGGGACCATAGCGATAAGGTTAATTAGTGTAAAGTTGAAGCTTACTGTTTGTATTTTTATGTGAAGATAAGATAATCTTCATATAAAGATAAAAGAGAAAGGATAAAGGTACCGGGCATAGAATTAATTCTATTTTGTGTGCATCTGTGTACTGGATTACCTTGTTTACAAGAAATACACAGCACAGATTGCATTTCTTCTACAGAATTCTGATCTCTCCCTTGCTTCTTTTTCTTTAAACAGTTTATGAAGAACCAGAAGACCCCAGTAATAGATCGTTTTTTTCAGAAATTATCTCCTCAGTGTCAGATGTCAAATTCAGTCACAGCGGTAGATACATGCTAACAAGAGATTACCTCACTGTCAAGGTTTGGGATCTGAACATGGAAACAAAGCCTGTAGAAACGTACCAGGTATGTGTCTCCTACTGACCTCCTTCTCACTGAAATGCAATGATAGAAAAACATCTCTCTATTAAAAAACTGGAGGTTTTCTTAAGCTTTTCCTGCTTGGTTTGAGGAGCTGCAAGTTAAGAGTTGTTAACCAGTGTGATTAAAGTCCTGATACTGGAATCCTTGCAGTTGCAAAAGGACAGTTTCAGCAGTAGTAAAGAAAGATGTGCAACTCCTAGGGAATCAAGATAACAGCGTGGAATGGGCTCTTGAATGAGAAACAATGCTTCCAACAAGGGAAATCATCTCTTCACTTTGGCATCCATTTTCAGTTGATGTATTCTACTATTAACATTTGAAAGAAAGTGAGGAAGGGATGTTGTGAATTGATTAGCATTCTGCTCCCTCTGGGACTGCTGAGAGTTTACACCTTTATCATTTCAGAACTTTTTTTTTTTCAAAACTTCACTATACATTTCTCCCTTGTGCCTAGTTCTAAAAGAGATCGTTGTTAAATCCTAACATTACCACTGACACAGCACTTTGTGAATGCCAGACAGACACATCTGGTTGCCTGAGTTCGTTGTGATATTATCCAGACAAAATGCCAGTGGCTGCAGCCAGCGCTGCATTTGTGCTCTGACATCTGTTCTAGTTGGCAGTGGAGGTCTGAGCTTTCATTTTGTGACTCTGCCTTCAAAAGGGAAAATGTGTCTGGGACACAGAAAATGCCTGTAACAAACACGCAGTGAGAAAAAGCTGTTAAGCTACCTACAGAAGAGTGTGAAAAGAAGGGAAAATGTCGTTCATCTGGCTTATGCATAGAGATGGTCCTGCAGTACTGTGGAACTTCATGTCCAGTGGCAAGTGGGGCACAGCAGTTCAAAGTAACAACTATGAAGATTATATTTAAAATAATATATAAGGAGAATTTGGTGGTGAGTCTTGTCAAAACAACCATAGTAATATTGGAGGTGTTTATTAGAAAGTGTACAGTAGATAAATTGGGCAATGTTTTCCAGTGCACCCATTGCATTTCAATGGATACCCTGTGCTGTATCCCCTGTTAGCATTGGGAACTCTGAGCCTGTGTATCTTTAAAATGACAGAATTGGTTTTGCTCTGAAAATGGCAGCATTTGCAATGCTAAATGTGTTTGAAATGTTGATATGCTGTAAAAATTGAGTGGGGAGGGTAAGAGTGAGACAGTGTTTTATAGAAAAGATACGTGTCTCAGATTTTAGGAACTTAGATAATATATTATTTTATATTCATGCTAATGGAGTAGGCAACCTTCTCCCTGGAGAGGAATAGCTGGTCAAGCCAACCTGTTCATCTTGGCTTTGACATCTGCTTTTATTTCCTGCTGTTGCTAGCTATGAAGCAAGCTGGCCACCTTTAAATCAGTCTGACACCCAACAGTGGGGCCAATTAAAAAGTTACATTTCTCCATGCTGAGATGTGGAAATTGATTATAATGTAAATTTCCCAGTATTAGGTATTACAATCAGAACAAAGAACAACAAACATCTGAAATCAGAACTGTGTTCTGGTTTACTTTAATCCAGAGATTGCCTTTCTTTTTCAGTGCTTTCTAAAGAGCATGCAGATGCACTGTCAAGTGCTGTAACCGAATGAGGAGAATCCACAGCTCAGAGGCCTTAGGAGACCCATAGCACAGGGCTGTGTAGGGCTCACACAGTCCAACCACTCTCAGCAACCTCTGATCTTTTTTTAGCTGCAGAGTTGTTATCAGTGCTGTGGCCAAAAGACTGCTATTGCATCGAGCAGCTGTTGCAGAAACACTTTATCTGCTGACAGTGATTCAAACATGATTTTCTTCTGTTTATGCTTCACATAGAAGAAAAAAAAAAAAAAAATAGTCAGATTATGGTGCCCTGTACAGCACAGAGAGCAATACAATAGAGTTGCCACTGCTTGAACATTGCAAGGCATCCCTGCCTGAAAGGATGCTCTTTTCCTGCTGCCCAGGTGAACGATTCCAGCAGAACCATACCAGCAGCTACCAGAGGTGAAAATGTTCGCAGCTGATAATAGCTTGATCCGCTTTTGGCAGGGTTTATTGTATAGGGATTTGGACTAATGTGTCACTTAAGCACAATTCTTGATTGTGAATAGTCAGTCCCAGTGAAATAGCTCCCCACGTAGTCGTATCACTGTGTAATTCCGTAGCAGAAAATGACTTGATAATTCCATGAAGGTCTGACCTAAAACAGCACAGTGAAGGAAGGGAGAATGCCTGGGGTTAGTAATGAATTTGATTGGGATTGGGATGTGGTAAGAACAGTATGTACAGACAAAGCAAATCTGATTTTACCCCCAGTCTGTTGTGGCAGATGATCATGAAAGCAAGGTGAAAGTTAATGTTTTCTGTTAGATTTTCCTAGTCTCTGAGGGTCTGAATGTGGTCAAATGTGGTGACCAAAGGGCCGGCAGGAAGAACAAGCTGCTGTCCCAGGCCAGTTGGCAGTCAGCCAAGAAAAAGGGGCTGAGACCTTGAGGAAATCAGCAAGACGACCAAGAGAGGATATGCAAAATGCTTCTTGGCAGAGCTGATGAAAGGCACAGCTCTGAGCTGCGGAGTCGGACACGCGTTGCAAAGGGTGTGTGTGTTACAGTGGTCACCACAGATGGCTGCTGGAAGTGGGAACTAGGGAGGCCTAGAAATGGCAGTCAGCAGGCAAATATGATCTGCTTTCTTTACCTGCCCTAACCTTTGTGTTTCTTCCACATACTGGGAGCTCACAAACTTGATAATGGAAAGAACTCCAGTTCTATAAATGATAATGGTAGCACAAAAAGGCTCTAAGTTAAGAGAAAATGAAAGGATTTAATTACAAAGGGTGCAATAAATTGCATCAGTTCCAAATATTCCGACCTATGAGGTAAATGCTCTTCAGGGCAGAGGAGGGGCGTGCAGGAAGAGTCTCAGTCAGCAGATCCTTATTCAGATGGCCATGAACAGAGCAGTCTGTATGGAGGCACCCACAAAGCCAGTGCCCTTGTGCCAGAGCTCAGCAGTGCTGTGGGGTTGCTGTGTGTCCCTAGAGGCCCTCCACACAGCTTTGTTTTACAGTTTCTGCAACTGCTAGAGGAAAACACCAGGAATGAGAGTGCATCCATAAATTCACCTAGGCAGGGATTCTCTAGCTCATTATTTCCATGCAAAAGGAAACCAATCATCCAGAAGGAAAACTAATCAAATTCAGCAAAGGGTTGAAGCAGTGTGTATGAGATCTGTCCCTTTATGAGAACTCTTATTCAACCCAGAGGAAAGGTCTTCTCTTGGTTAATCTCACTTTTCAAGTATTTATGTGAGAATGTACAGTGTTGTTTTTAAGTCTCAGCCAAATAGTAAATGTCCTTGGGCTAAATTAGTGTTCTAATTTGCAGCCTATGGAACTGCAGCCTTGTGCTGTATTTTGCTTCTGAAATACCTTACCCAAATATATGTATTACTACATGCGACAGGTTCTTTTAATGGAGCCAGGTTCTTTCTGCCACAAGAAGCGATAATCCACTTATCTTGGAATGTGACATATTTGTTACAATTTAAATTAGATTTCGTGCACGTTAATTAGCACATCTAGGGCATCAGGTGGTGAAACATCTTTGGGAATTAGGCTGGCATTGAGAAAATCACCCAAGCAAGAAACAAGTGTGTTGTGGAGGGGTGGTTTGCAGCCTGCTGAGGAAGGTATGCTTCATGCCTTCCTGCAGCAATAATTCTGCAGCACCTGGTTAATTGGGTTGTGGGAAGGCATGGATAGCTTCTTTAAACACAGTATCTTCTGCAGAGTTACCAATCTGCGCAGCATAATTTGCAAGTGACTGTGGGAGATAAAGCAGGGAGTGGGGGACTGGCTTTGGAGTTGGTTGTGTGTTTCATGAATAAGAGCTGTTGTTTTCTACAAAACAGGTGCACGATTACCTTAGGAGCAAGTTGTGTTCCCTCTATGAAAATGACTGCATCTTTGACAAGTTTGAATGTGCATGGAATGGATCAGACAGGTAATCCATCCTTATGTCCACCATTGTCTTGATTTAGCAAAAGAGCACCCTCCACGAGATGGACCACTCAAAAAGTAAGGTATTATGTATGGTTATTTTCCATATAAATTTCTATCTCTGCATGCTTGCACTCAGGCTGATAAAAGGTACATGATTATTGGTGTAGCTTTGTCTCCAGCATCCTTGGACATTTTGCATACATACATTTTTAATCTTGGCTCATGCCTTAGGGGAAAACAAATTCAATCCATTTTTGCCTAAACTGTAGGTGCAAGAATTGAAAAGAATGCAAGTGATGCACACAACCTCCCAGCGTACTGAGGAAGCTTATGTGTGATCCTGCATTTACATGAGCTCTTTCCAAAATCCAGTTCATTTACTGGAGATGGGAAGAGAGAAAAAGCAGAGACAGACCCACTGATTCTCTGCAAACTGCTGCCACCTTCACACTGATTCTTCTGCAACCTACACTCCCCGGTTTTATGAATGCAAGGAGTGGTTCCTGTTTGTATCTTGATCACAGCATCTTGTTAAATCTTTTCACAAGAGATACTGGCACAAATGAGAAGGAGAGAGAGGGAGGGTGCAATTCAGCAGTGCCCTATTGCTCGCAGATAGTGGTGGTACTTTGGGCAGTGGAGATATTGCATTATAAGAACTAAGCAGCCTAGAGGACTGGGATGATAAAAATGAGTGAATCCAGGAGTACAAAGTAAGGTGAGGATTTTAGCTGAAAGAAAGCACGAAATTCCATTTTACCAATTGGAAACAACTCATGGGGACATTCATGGAATTCATGGACACCATGGAAGGGATTAGCGGACTGTAGAATGCATAAGAGAGGGGGCACGAGCCAGGTTTGCATGGCACACAGTGACTCCTTGGTTCAGCACAGCTGGAAGCCAAAAGGCAAGTGCTGCTGGTCAGTTTAGCATGCTCAGAGAGCTTGGAACTGTGCCTTCAGCTCACTTAGCCTCACCTTTGGGGAAAGCAGTCCATCTCTTGTCACAGGGAGCAGGGATGCATGCCTCAGTAATATTTGCTCACAAGGATTAACTCAGTGTTGAGTATACTTCATGATACAAACTGCAGGCCATTAAAAAGCTGTAGGTGGACCACCCTGGGCGACATGCTTCCTAGATTATCATTGCACCTTGGATACCAGCTGTTGTTTTCAGTGTGGTCAGAAAGTGGGAGCAATACACAAAAATATGAGGGGAAGAGCCAGGTTTTGGAGCTTCTCTGACCTCCCAGCATCGTGCATGAGTGGATGGGTTGACTCCGGAGATTCTGAGTGCTGCTTGGTCCTGCTTGGTAGTTTGGTTCGACTGGAAATACCAAAGTGAAAGCCTTTCAGTGGTGCCGATCGCTGTCTAAATCTGATACGGAAGAACCACACAATCATAGAACAGAAACACAGAATCATTTGAGTTGAAAGGGACCTTTCAAGGTCATTTAGTTCAACTGCCCTGCAATGAACAGGGACAAATCAAATAATGCAGATATTCTCAAACCTGAACAAACAGTCAGGCCATTTCAGGTCCTTTCAGACCATTTTGCCTATCCTCAGTGGGAGTTACCAGTATGTTATGCAGGATGGGCAGCCACGTGGCCCAGAGTCCTTCTCCCTTCATCACATGAAGCGCTGCCATCCACACTGATGAAGCGAGACCACTGTCTGAATGGCTGCCTGCTAATAACACAAGTTTTATTTAATAGCAGGATGTAAAATGAGTGTAATATTTTAGCTCCTACCTGACAGATCCGAAAGATCAGCGCAGTAAGTAATTATTAAGTGGGAGCCTTGCACTGTGAGGGCTTAATTTGTTGTACTGCCCAAACATCAGGGGGTTGTTAGCCTTGCACAATTACCAGATCTGTCACTAAGCACAATATGCTGCTCTCGAGAGTAAGGAAGCATTCTGTAGAGTCGCTGGCAACGTTTGACAAAAGATAAGGGTCCGCTCTAGTTTAGTTGTTTCTTTTTAAGAGTCAAATATACCAGTGCTGATGTTCATCTTTTGAGGTGATGAAATTCATATTCATTCTTCTGAGCTTCTTGCTTCTGTGCACAACAAACATTTTATCATTTTGCTACACACTACAAGATTATTTTGGCTTTGGTGGATCATAATTTACATTACATTTGGGTACCAGCAGCTATTAGAGAGCAGTTCATTTGAATAGTTAAGTCACTTACTTTGATCCTTTTGGTGTATGTCTTTCAACAAAGCCCTTTTGTTAAAGGTTACTAAAAGTGGTACTCCTAAGAGATGCTGTAATATAATGTTTATGGCATTCAATCATATTCATAGCAGTAATAATTGCAGTTCTAAACATGTTACTTCTATCCTTTGCAGAGTTTACAGTGACAAGTTAAAGTGAAAAGGTTGTTCATTTAAAAATGAAAGCATGATTGTTACTTGGGATAAAATACTTTTTATTAATTTTGTCATTATTAAGGAGTTAGTGTAGGCAATGATAGAACCTGATGGTGAAGCTGCTTACAAAAAAAATCAATGTTCACGAGCTCTGATTAGAACGTGATTGATGCTCAGTTTCTCCAATGAACAGGAACTAATCTGATCAGACAGAGCCTATCTCATTTGCTGAAGGGCACATTAATCAGCAGGCACTTGGGCAGAAACAGTGGTCAGGGAGAGAGTCAGGCAGAGGTCTTACAGTAATTCAGCCAGATGAGCACATATTATGTGTGGTTGAGTATATTACACTAAAATCATGCCATCTTTATTGTTCATACATCATTATGTGACTGTGGAGAGTATGTGAGCTCTGCTTTGTATGCCACTTGCATTTGATTCTTCCATTCAACTCCAAAGTCAAGGCTTTCAGTAGCAACCCCCAGGACCCTGCTACTTACCCATTCTTTTTTTCAATTATACCTCAAAAATTAGTACTTACAGGTCTTTTGTTTGTTTGTGATATACTGAAGCAGTAAGTAAAAGAAAAAATAATGTAGTGTATACTACATGGTAGCAAATGAATACCTGAGTGACTGTTCTGTTTTTAAGACTGCAATGAATGGCGTATGGGAACCCTTCCAGGGAGGCTTCTGAATGCCATCACCATTAGTGCTGTGCTGTAAGCAGATGAATGAAACCACACACGACTGTGCAGCCAGCCCCTCCCTACTGAAGTGTCAGTCATGCCGGGGTATAGCCGTCAGCCTTTGCTCTGTCAGGTGGAATTGGCAGGTCCTGGGGCACGGGCCGCTAACCGCCTGTTCCTGCTGGCACTGAGCTCTGTTCCAGAGTGCTGGGGGACATCAGGGCTCAGCATGACTCGTGGTAGCTTGGGAGGGCTGGGAGTTCCTCTTCTTATTTCCAGTCTTAACCCTGCGAGCAGGGTTTGAACAGCTGGTCTTTAAGGTCCCTTCCAACCTAAGCCGTTCTGCGATTCTCCGGATTGTCACAAGAGGATGTAGGGCCTTGCGTGTTAGTCCCAGAAGATAGCAGGGTAGATTAGATGGTATTGAAATCTTGCAGGTGTGGGGGCTCAGCATAAATGGGGAGATAGCTTCAGGTGAAGGAAATGGCCCCTTCCATGTTGGATGCCTGGAGAGGCAGCTCTGCAGAGACTCAGGACAGCATGTGGAGGCAGCTGTGGTGGTGCTGCTCTGAGGCTTGGATCCAGTGGTAGGTAACTCTCCCCCTCAGAGCATTAAAGGGCAGGCAGGCAGGGCTGGTTTCATTTTTCCATCATCCTTCAGCCTGCCATGTGCTGGCTGTTGAAGCCTGCCCAAACCTTGCCTTGCCTCATCCTGTAGGCTCTTGACTGGCAGTGAAGGGGGGAAGTTCTGACATGAACTGGACTTTTCTGAATAATAGAGATCTGTATGTGAAGAAAAGATTGTTATACAGCTCAGAAGACTGATCTGAGCCAGAATTGGCCCAAAGCAGGTTTTAAAACCTAAACAGAACAATGCATGATTGGGTTTTTAAGCAAGCCCTAATTCTAGCTGATAATCCCAGAGCTTCAGGATCAAGGCAGCTGAATCAAGTTGTTGTGATTAAAACTGTCTGTGTGCTGGGAAGGGCTGCTACATGGAGGACATTAAAGGGCTTGGCTTGCAGTAAAGAAATGTGAATAAAGTAGGGGAGTAACAGAGATTTGAGAAAGACAAAAGTACGCCAGTTCTCAATGACTGACTGAGTGAGGAAAGCTCAGTGTCTGAATAACAGTGTGAAACCAAAACTCACTGCAGTTCAGTATAAATGCTGAGGGCCAGTTGGATACCCCTGGGGTTGGCAGAACAGGAAATACGTTGATGTTGGACTGTAATGGATTTTTCCTTCCTCCTGTAAGAATACATTTGTTCTGCTTGTAAATGTAAATAATGGTTAAACACTTTGCACTCAGAGATGTAAATTAGCAGTGAGGCACCTCTGATTGCATCATTAATGAGGAAAAGTGCTGCACTGTCAGCGTGGGCTGGGGGAATTACTGAGGTCTTGTGTTGCTGCGTAAAGCACTTGAATAGTTGTGAGAAACTCTTGTACCAGGATGAGGGGGAATGGCTCCAAGTTGCCATTCCCAGGGGAGGTTCAGGTTGGATATTAGGAAACATTTCTTCTCAGGAAGAGTGGTAAGGCACTGGCACAACTGCCAAGGGAGGTGGTGGGGTCACCATGCCTGGAGGTGTTCAAGAGCCATGGAGATGTGGCACTGAGGGATGTGATTAGCAGGCATGGGGTGGTGGGTTGATGGTTGGAATGGATGATCTCAGTGGTCTTTTCCAACCTTAATGATTCTGCAATTCTTGGAGCAGTGGGCAGAGAGGAAGGCTCAGTCCCCATAGGGTTAGAGCCTTTAAAAAATCCTCTCTCTCTATATATACATGTATATATATGTGTATATTTAATTATTAACTCATACTTTTTTTAAAAGCACCTTTGCTCCTGCATGCTCCCTAGGGTCCACTGCTGTGTTGTGAGCCCTGAATGTCCTTGCACAGCTGAGGTGGTCCCTCTGACTGTACCTCTGAGTGAAATTAGAGGTTCAGAGGTTCTCAGCCAGATCTCATTTGGGTGCTGCCTCAGGCTTCTGTGGGTTGGGGGGGGGACTTCTGGGTGGGGACCTCTGGTTTCTTGGACCGGCCTCACTGGGAAGGGTGTGGGCCAGGAGCTCATGGTTACACCGCTGTACAGAGCAAGTAGGCAGAGATACAGGGCAGGCACTACCTATATTCAGCTGCTATTTCTGTATATGCAGATATACATATATAAATCCTCCTTATGGCATACGTTCCGTCATTGTACATTACAGTTTCCCGAACACGAATGAATTGCAGGGTTGCACTGAGTTCTCACTCTCTTTTATTGTTATTTTAAGCAGCAGGTAAGGTTATAATCCATCTGGGTTTGTGACCTTGAACAAGAATGGACACTTTCTCATTTCCATAATGCTATTTTTTACCGAGCCATTAAAATACAGAAAAACAGGGCCAGCATGAAAAGAAGTCATCTACATATGTTAAAAAAAGCCCTGTGATGAATCCAACCAGAGGAAACAGACTTTAAAAAATATATGAGCTGAAGAAATTAAAACGCAAATGGACTGTAAAAGCAGCTTTACTGCAAGCAAAACCTAAAAAAAGATTTTTGACAAGCACTTATCTGTGCTGTTGGTGCATTGGTCCATTGCCTGCATGAGCACCACTCCCCTGATGGGTTGCATCTGGTGCAAGGGCTGCATGCCCAGGAGCACCATTCCCCCTTGCAGCTCTGCAGGCACTTCGGACCCTGCAGCCCCAACTCAGACCCCCCCAGTGCTGGGCTGGGCTGTCAGCATCACAGTACATAGTAGTGTTGGCATAGGAAATCACCTCCACTTTTTGACTTTGTGAATAACCATTGTAACAGGAGCCGTAATGACGAGCCACGGTGATTTGGAAGGAGTGAAACATTAGATTTACTGCTGTTTATTCAGTTTCTGAAATGGGCACTAATCTTGATCAATAGGCTTTCTGCAGCTTCTGGGATACGTTTTATCAAGCTGTCAGGCTGCCTGTTTTTCTGTTTAGCCCATGAGATTGCTCAGGTGCAGCTCAATAAGCAGCACAGTGCCAGGTGGGGCAGGTATGGGGTGTGTGTCTGCAGACAGCCCTGCTGTAGCTGCTACTGCCCATGGGCGAATGTCTCTGGTGTCTGGCACAGGGCAGAAGCAGCCTGTCAGCAGGACGCAGGCTGCATGCCATCAGCAGACAGCGGAGCAGGATGGAGCTGCATTACTCACTTGTATTGCAGTAGCTCCTAAAGGCTCCAGGTGAGATGAAGGTGAGGCTGGCTGCGGGCTGTGCATGCAGCGTAGGACAGACAGCTCCTGAATGCAGGGGCACCAGATCTGATGAGCCGGTGTGCGGGGCAGAGAGCACAGCTCACACTTTGCATTGTGCCACTGCTGGGTGTGCAGCTCTCCTGGCTTGGCTGAGCAGATCCCCCCAGGCAGGAGACAGCAAAATGTGAAAGCAATGCGGCTGTCACCCGTGGTGGAGATTAGTTTGTTAAATGCAGAGTGCGTGAAATATGCTTGGTTTGGCTGTACTGAACAGGCAGATACTGACTGACTGCCCACATCTGTCTTTGAACTCAATGTGCAGCTCCTCCCATGGAGACCTGCCTGGTGGTTTGAGGTGGGGTTCCCCATCTGGAATGGAAGTGCTGAAAGTCACTGTGTTTGGGGCTGAGACAGAAAAGGTGAGCGGAGTGTGGCCCCAGATGTGGATAGTGAAAAGCTTTGCAGGAGATGAGCTCTCAAGTAAGGTTTTAAAGTCTGTGAGTATAAGAATCCAGTCACCGGAGGGCCAAGGATGAAATTCTGAATTCCTTAAAGCTGCTGACAAAATATCTCCCCTTGGGGAATGGGGGAATGAAGAAACCATTACTTCAGGCTGATTAATGGGGGATTTATGCAGAGTGAAGTAAGGTTCTTGTTCCTTTCTCCAAGATGCAGAGATAGATCCTGGCTTGAATTTTCCCTCAACCTTTCTATACAAGAGACAAAGGAACCCTATTTATCTATATGTTCAGTTTAAAGAAGTAGCATATGTATTAATTTTAGAAGTGCCTAGACTTGCCAACAGATCTATAGCTTCAGAAAGAAAAAGGTTTCGTTTTGAAAAGAAATGTACTTTGCAAACTCTGTTTCTTTTTAAAAGATTGTCTCTGGATCCATGGTAATCTCAGAAAAGGTCTGGCTGTAGCACAGAGCACACTGACACGTCACATCATTGTCTTGTGAAGTCAGTCTCATGGTGTTGGGATCCTGACTTGTGATGGTTTGTGTGAATGGCCAGCGTGCTGGGGAAACTGTACATTTCACTAAATACTTTCAGAAGGAAAGAGGAGACATTGGTAGGGAGAAAACTTCACTTTGGGGGGAAAAATCCATGGTTTTATTCTTTCCCAGCTGAAACCAGAAGACATCCAAACGTTACTGCTCAGCTGTCCTGAGGAATTCTTGTTAGCAGACACACTGCTCTGTAATTATATCTTTGTTTTCTCCCCTCCACCCTCTTTCTCTCCCCAGTGTCATCATGACAGGAGCATATAACAACTTCTTTCGAATGTTTGACCGAAACACCAAGCGGGATGTTACCTTGGAGGCATCCCGGGAGAGCAGCAAACCCCGTGCTATTCTCAAGCCCCGGAGAGTCTGCGTTGGTGGCAAACGGAGGAAAGATGACATCAGTGTCGACAGTTTGGACTTTACTAAGAAGATCTTGCACACAGCGTGGCACCCAACTGAGAACATCATTGCTATAGCAGCGACAAACAATCTCTACATATTTCAGGATAAAGTGAACTCAGAAATGCACTAGGTTTATCAATATCCCTCTGTATCTACAAACCAGCCTCTTGAGAGTTGTAAAAGGATGTGATCTTCACAAAAATTAGGGCTTCTGTGGTGGGATTTGTAGGTTGCATCCTTTCATCCCTCAGCCTGTATCATTACTGGTGGCAAGCCAACTATTCTCATCACTGCAACTGTATGAGTAAAAGGCACGACTGCAAATCCAGCCCCATGGTCTGTGTCGGTTCCTTTAATCCAACAGGGGCACTTACACAGCTGGGGAGTGTTCTGAGGAGGTCTGGGACTCCTCAGCTCCTGTCAGTGCTTTGAGGGTCTCAGTGGTTCACAGGACCACGTCGTTCTGGTGCACTGCCTGCTTCTGCAGCCCACAGTTACCACACTGTTAGAGCTTCTGCTTTAATCTTCTGATTATTATTTTTTTTCAGTAACATTTTTCTGTCTTTCAACTAAGCTGAGCCTGTTTGTGCGCGAACGAATGATAGCCGCATCCCTTTGGACCACGTGGCACATTGAAAAGGCCTCCCAAATTCTTGCTGGTGAGAAGCTGCCCTGTGTCACCTGTCCCATTCCCTTCTTTACACTCTTGCATTATTTATTCACATTACTAACTTTGTGCTTCGACTTCCTGAGTGAATAAGCAGCAGGCTGCTGGAGTTACTCAGCCAACTTGTTTTAGGAAGTTCATTCTCCCTCAATCTCTTTGCTCTGTTTAATATTTAGCAGCTTTACCCCTAACTTGGCATTACCACTGCATGGGGACTGGCTGCTCAAACACGGCCTAGCAGAGTTAATCCATAAACCTACACTGTTGCCTGGGGGTGGGGAGTTCTGGAAGCCTTGGCTAACAGTGCTGTCCTTGGAGGTAAATCCGGACTTCAGTGGAAGCAAAGTCACAGCTCTACTGGACACTTCAGGAAATCCCACGTTTGCTCAGTGCAGAATGGTTATTCTTGTCCTGACATATGGGGAATACAGAAAATGCCATAATAGCTGTAGCTATAAGAAGAGTAGTACTGTGAAAGGTGGCACTGCTGAGTGAACTGGGAGGTGTCAGCCCACTGCTGGGTGATGTGGGTATTCCTGGAGAAAGAGGAAAACTCAAAGTCCAAACCAAAACTTCTTCCACATAAACACATCACTGTGAGATCTATAGCTCTTACAGATCTGTCTTTGCTTTTAAATGAATAGGATGTAAGTAAGTGGCAAATGAAAGTACGTGGAATTATGTGCTCTGTTTTGGAAGTCCATGGGAACAGTGTAGTGCTAGGAAGTCTTCTTCATGCACAAGAAAGTTCTGTCTGCCTCCCTAACAGCTCTGGAAGAAAAACAGATATCCCAAAGGATTTCTTCGCAAATCACAAACACGAGAGCACAACTGAGATGTTGGCATTAATGTGCCCATATTAAAACTCCTCAGAAAACAAACAAACAAAAAAACCACTTCTTTAAGCCATTATGCACTGATGTCTTTGGTAAGTGGAGAACAGACTGATAAAGGGATCTGCATGCTTTCCTATTTTGTTTTGGATGAAAGAATGGGTGAAAAGCTGCTTTAAGGACCTGAAAAAAGCCAAGCCTGTGGCTCTTTTATAAGACATCTAAACACAACACGCCAAACCTGTCTGAAGTTTTCTACATCAGTGCTGTATACTTTGTGTGTAGAAGCACAAACGCACGCGCATCGGTTTCCAGCCATACTGAACACATCCGGTGTGAAACACGTAGGTTAATTTAAAGGGAATGAGGAATGTTTGTTTATAAAATACTGTATGCTCTAGCAGGCATGGACAGTATGTGTACATATTTATTCATAACGAGATTTAACAAAACCGCTTTTTTTCCTTGTAAAGAGGTTTAAGGATGTGGTAAGTTGTATAGAAAAGTTGCTAATGCCAAACTGCTGCTTCAAGGGCGCCATTCAATTTCTTTGACTTCTGGCCTCATTAACCTTCGCAGCTCAAAAAAAATTGCTCTGAGCTCATATTGGCATTTACAGGTAGAAGTTCTGTGAAACATATATTTAGCCTTCACCATGCTCAAGTAAGAGACTATAGATAACTTATTATAAAGCAGCTCTTAATACAATTCTTTTTCTTTCTTTTTTCTTTCCTTTTTAATTTGAAGTACCTTACTCTGTTATAGCTCTGGGTACCAAAAAGATCGTGTTAAAATTAAAGAAATAAATATATCTTTGGAGCTTTATAAAACTAATGAAACACCCAACCAAAATAACACAAAGTGATTACAGAGGAAGTAAACAGAAATCTCTTAAAGACCAGTAATCATTCACATCTTTGACTTTGCTACTACAGTTGTTTCCTGGTCTTCTTGAATGTATGGAAAGTTAACATCGTCATTGTGAACGTTTCCAACTTTCTTTCTCTTTTTAGTTTGAGCTTTCAGTGGTGTAGAGTAAATGATGGTAAAGTTGGTAAATCTGATTGTTTTGAAAGCTGTTGTTCATGGCTGCATTCTTTGTGTTGCACAAATTAGCTAACTGTTGTTGAATAAAAATATAAATATGTTAATACCAGCTTTTTCAATAAAATACAACCAAAAAAAGGCACAAGTAGATGACTTCAAGGCACAGCTTATTTTTAAGCTAGGTGTGAGAGACTTGTTAGGCTCCTTTTACAAAGCAGGGAAAGTCACGGGGATCAAAGCAAGTGACTGAAGTGTGTTGGGGCAAATGGGGGAGCAAATGTAGGGAGTGACTTACTGGCTCAGCATGATGAGCAGTGCATGCACAGACAGTGCAGCTGGAGACGCACTTTCACTTCCCACCTTGGACTGTAGCCCAAGTTATGGCATATTCTGCCCTTAAGAGATGTGAATCCCAGTCTCCTACAGGTGGAATAAGAGATGCACAATGAGAGGGAACACACGTAATCACAGAGTGAAATGGCAGCCGCATGGATATCCAATGGCCAGGTTGGGCATGTCCCATTTTCACTGACCATGAGGACTGGCTGCTGCGGTGCACAGGTATCCCAGGTGTCCTCCTAGGAAGCAGCAGCCAGAGGGCTGTCAGCAGAGGAGCAGCCTCCCTCCTCTTCATCACCTTTCCTTCTAACCTGTGCCCTAGGGGCAATAAAACCCTAACAACCAAGCTAACCCAAACAAGCTGGTTTGGCACGCAAAGTAAAGGCTTACTTATGGTTTCACTTCCCAGTCCCAACTGCTGCCCAAATTTCCATGCCACCACAAGGCTTGACCCTGACTTTGGGCTTTTCTTCTGAATCTCAACCAGCCAGCCCTGCCTGCATGTTCCATACAGAGCGAGTGGCTTGGGATGCCTTGGGACCTCAGCACACACTTGTTACACCCCAAGAGACTGAGTCAGCTCCTGTACTGGATGCAGACCAAGATGCATTTGCCTCTGCTGTTAGATGAGGCAGGGTAATGCTTGCACAGCTCTCCCAAAGCTTACACTCTAATTCCAGCCTCCCCCCTTCCCATCGTGGGAAGACCCAGTCAATCCCCCTCATTTAGGTGGGCAAACATGACTTGGTACTGAAGAGAGAAATCTCAGCTGAAAACCAATACATCAAGCAGTTCACTATTTACCTTTCCAGTTTCCCTTTTTATCCCCAAATGCCTAGCACAAGCAGGATCCAGATGGCCAACTTGTCTGCTCGTGAAATATTCACAAAAGCCTATTTAGTAGCAGCATACAGCAATTTAACCCTTTGTGGAATGGGGATGGGAGGAATGCTGATACGAGCTGCTTGGTATCCCCATTTGCAGCCAGCAGATCACCCTGCTTTCAGGTAGAGTTGTGTCCTTTGAACTCTTCTAAGGTTGTGACAAGTAATCATTGACAAGAGAGCAAGTATAAGGATTGTTTTCAGTAACATTATTGCCATCAATTTGCTCCCACTCCCAATGGTAATCCTTTTCCATTTGCTGCCTTTTCAGTAAGTTGCATTAAGTCTAAAATTAGAACATGAATTCACTCATCTTTCCCATGTGGTAGAACCTCAAAAGGCAACAGGATTATTGGAGGGGATAAAGAGATAAAGAACTGGGCCTAATTTTTTAAGAAGCTTGGAACATTGGAACAGGGTATGGTTCTTTGGTTTTGTGAAGCCATGAAACAGCATGGATGGTCAAGGTGCATGGCAATTTGACGTGCATCCTGGAAAGTGTTGCTTTGGGAGTGAAAGCTTTTAATAGCAGTGATTTTCTTGTTTTAATTCTCTCTGAAATTGGACTAGAATCAAACTTTTACTCACATGAAAGTGAACACAACTCCTTGATTGAGCTCATAAGTTAAGACTGAGATGCCAGGCATTGCTCATGAAGCACCTGATAGAGCAAACTCTTGTGTTCCTGCAACTATAAAAGCTTCCTCAAACACAGCTCACCCCAGCAAGGTACAGATAACTACTTGTCTTGCTGTTTGCTAAGCAAAGACAGTCAGTGTGTAGGACAAGATATTTAAACCAACAATTCCATTAAACAATTATTTTAATTATCACAGTGACTAGATATGTTCCATATGGGTGCTCAAAAGAATAACATCCATAGTAGTGACCATTAAAGAATGTCCAATATTTTTCTGCACTCCTTGTCTGAAAACTAACACTGGTACCGTGGGCATGCTGACCCAAGAGATTCCCCAAGCAGATTCTAACTTTAATTACAGGACCAAATTCTTCCACTGGCAATGCTGGCACTGTGAGTTGTCTGATGCAGGAGACAACGCTCACAGTAAATCCATGTGCATCTCAAGCTGTGTTGTGTAAGAGGTGGGGAGGAGAACAGTGCCATTTCCACTATCGCCTATCTGACCCACTATCACCCTCTGACATCTCTGTAACACAGTGTGAGAGGAGCAGCTGCAGTCTCCATTTCTCACAGCTATTGATCCAGGCTTCTGCAAACCCAGATAGATGCTGCTGCATCAATTGCGCTGTGTCAACAGTATTAAAATACCCTCTGCAGCCTTAACAGCTAAAGACTTACTTTAGAGCAGACTATGTTATGCTACCTTCCTCCACACATTTTTTGAATGAATAAGGCTTGGACAGGCTTCTAAAAAACGGCTGTTTGGGGCAGTTGTTGCAATACTGCTAATGAACCTCCAGCAACCCAGTGCTACCCTTGAAGCTGGTATCTTCCTCATCCCTTTGTGGGGCTGCAAGAAAGGTCTGCTTGCACAGCTTATCCCCAGGGAAAGCTTGCCCTACCCAGACAGCCTCAAACTCAGACTCTCCCAAAATCTGTCTGTCATAAAAGGGCAGAGTTGGCTCTTGCTCAAGAAGGGCAACAGCAGCTTGATGCTATGGAAGTTGGGGGACAGAAACAATCACTATGCTGTCACGTCCACTAAGTGCCCCCAGGCTGCCTCCATGCCTGCTCTCTACTATGGCATTTCACATTCCCCTATAGACTTGGATCACACAGCATGGCCAGAAGCCACTAAAAGCACACCAGGTCCCACCTGGAGGCAGCAGGAGCAGTTATGGTCAGTGTGCTGGTGAGTGCCATCATCTCCCCATCTCCTCAGCTGTCACAGAGGAACAACCCATTTGCCAGTGCAGCGTATTTCAAGTGGAAGATTTACAGAATCTGAGAGTTTGTATCTTAGCAACCACCAGGGCATTAAGAAAGCAGTTTAACTGCTTAAGTTTTCAATTAAAAGATCCACCACAAACATGCACAGCCCACAGGGCCATCACAGTTGCATCAGGAGGGAAGAAATGACCCTCCCCAGCACGGACAGACTGGGCGGTGGCACAGCCCATGCCTACAGCACTGGATCTTCTACAGGAAGGGAAGCATGGGAAGGACTTTTTTTGCAGAGAAACCCTGAGGTTTCATTAGCTGGTCTCAAAGCAAGATTTCCTGCTTTTCAAGAGAGAATAGAGATCTCCCACAATAAAAAGCCAGAGTGAAACAGGCACAGATTGACCTTCATGAGATGATGCAGTTCATCTTCTCCCTGCTTTGTGCAGCCTGGAGACCTTTCGCTCAGTTCTCAGTTTCCCTCCTCTACAAACTGTAGTTACTTCACACAGAAAAGTAGGTCTTGTACATAGCTGTACTCCATAGCCAGCCCTGGAATCAAGTCAGAGAACATCAGACATTGCAGGGCAGGCATTCACAGCCTTCCACGGGGCTGAGAAAGGTGGCAACTCTCATCTTTCCTATACTTGCCTCATGGATGCACTATGCTGGAGAAACTTAATGTAATAAGGCAAAGTTAAAGCAAAAAAGAAATTCTGCCAGGACAGCTACCAGTCCCAAAGAGGACCAGTGCTGGATGAGAACTGTGATATAAGGCACAGTGCATGCATGGACTCAGTGTATTTATTTGTGCTCTAAGCTGCAAGACAGATGGGCTGCCCCGGGCTAAAGAAACTTCAGGATATAGGATTGAAAGATTCCCATGGAGACCTAGTTTTGAAACAACGATTAAAGACCAGTTGAACTGTTACTAGAAGCTGCATTAGGAGAGATTTATGAATCATCCATTTACAACTCCAGGAAAGCATCTTCTGTAAAGAGAAGACTGAAAAATCCATTTATTGCAAAACCGTTTGCTGGGATCATCATCAGTCTCTCATGCCAGTGCAGGCATACAAGCATTGCTTGGGCAGAAGTAAGTGGATGTGGTGACTGTGAAAAAGTTTGCCAATTCCTTGAATATTTATTGCCAGTATGTGCTTTGAAAAGTATTTAGCAACAGAATGAACTGAAATTGCTCTGCACAGTACCAAGAAATAATCTGGATTTTGACTGAGTATTTGAATTTGGATTATTATTAGATTATTCAGCCAGTGATACCCACCCTGACCTTGGGCTGGCAGTTAGAGCTTTGATTCCACGCAGATTCTTGATCAGAATTCCATCTGTTCAAGCAGACTTTCAGAGCATCCAAGCCCTATTAGAATAACATTTCCATTACCTAATTAATTGTTTGAAGCTATTCTCAGTGATTACTTATTGAAGTTATAGTTTGTCACCTGAGGCAACAGAATGTATTGTTGTCGTGGAAACATCTCTGCTGTCACCGGCTCTGAATAGAGAGGGAGGAACAGGAGAGGGAACTGAAGAAGCAAGGCTTTGTTGAAATGCCTCACTCTTGAAAGTGAACTATTATTTCAGATAAAGCCAGGCCACACAGAGGTCTGAACCAGGGATGCAGTGCACACAGATCTCTGAGAAAGAAGGGGTCAGCAGGTTCAGTTTGAGCCCTTTCTACTGCAGTGTGACACAGCCACCCTGCACCACCATCTCCATGGCCAAGAGCAACATCTGCAAGGCCCTTCCTGCTGCCAAACCTGCTGTTGTTGCAGAAAGGTCCTGCTGTCCTCAAAAACAGAAGAACTCCTTAACAACCTGCTGTGGCCTCTCTACTTCATTTAGAAGATATTAAAACTCTGACTTCTGGGATTTGTTGTGTCAGCCTTTACCTGGTGTGTGATCCTCACACAGCCCTTCTGCTTTCCCCACATCTGTGCACTCATTTCTAGTGTGCACACCTGAAGCAGAGCTGCAGTCAGAATTCCCTTAAAACAGC